CAAAGTCATGAAGAGTAGGGACTTACAGTCAAGACTGCTCTACCCACCAGGAAATACATCATTTAGAATTGAAAGGCAGATAAAGAGTTTCCCAGACAAGAAAAAACTTAAGGAGTTCCATCATCACTAGACCATTATTATATAAAATGTTAAAGGGACTTATTTAAGAAAAAGAAGATGAAAGCTATGAGCAATAAAACAACAAAATATACAAACCTATCAAAAATTGAATCTAAAAAAACAAACTAAGCAAATAACAACAGAGACAGAATTATAGATACAGAGCACATTTTCATGGTTGCTAGATGGGAGGGGGTGTGGGGGAATGAGGGAAGAGGTAAGGGGATTAAGAAGTACAAATAGGTAGTTACAGAATAGCTATGGGGATGTAAAGTAAAGTTTAGGAAATGGAGTAGCCAAAGAACCTATGCATGACGCATGGACATGAACAATGGTGTGGGGACTGATATGAAAATGCACCAAATGTCCATATCATGAACATTTGATAAGGAAAAACTTTAAAGGCAGAAGAGGAAACAGAAAACAACGTTTTAGTAGTTGGCGACTTTAACTCTCTTAGTTGGTAAGAGAACAAGTGGCCAAAATATTAAAGATGCCATATATTTGCACACATGCAAAATGACACATTCAAAAGGCTGCTCGTTATTGCATTGTCTGTACTATCTAAGGTTAGAAACGCCCTTTCTGCCCATTAGCGTGAGGCTGGTTAAATTCCAGTACTTAATACATAAATATGACGCACCTAGAAAGGAAAAACAAGGAACATTTAAAGAGATCCAAGACATACTGCTAAGTTAAAAAAAAAAAAAGAACTGAAGCAAGGTGTGTAATATGCTACTTTTTGTTTTTAAAAGAAAAGGAAAATAAGAGTCCTTCTTTGTATTTACTCATATGCACACAAAAAAACTACTAACTTGTGGGGGTGACTTCTCTGCGAGTCCCCCCGGTGCCACGGACACTCGTGAATGAATAAATATGGCTGAGACAAGATGAGATCTGTTTGGGGAGGAGGAGTGGGCTGTGGCCAGTTTCTCAGGGGAGACAAAGGCCAGCAGCAGCCAGTTTCTCCGAGGAGAAAAATGCCCCGAGTGCCCTCAGCCATAGCCTTTTATTGGGTTGTAATACACAGGAATACAGGGTGGCAAGGATCAAACAGTAGATAACATTTCAAAGAGATCTGAGGGCTTCAGAGTCTGAGTCCGTGTCTGTCAGGAAGAGAGTTACAGAAACTTTGGGAGACATACTCATTTCCTCTAGGACCCTATCATATGAATGAAAGCACTCTTAGCAGAGCAGATTTCACAGGTTAATCAGCAAGTCTTTGTGATGTCAGATTTTTCCCCAGGATCTGCTCTAACAAGGCAAGGAGCTGCACCTCTCCCCAACAGGTATTCAGGCTTAAGAGGATTAGAGCCAGGAAGCGCTTCTCCCAGAGAACTTGGGGACTCGGGCTATGTCAAAGCCTGGGGGCGAGAGTCCATTGCTCTTTGTTGCAGCCCCCTGAGTCCTTCCATGAAGGCCTCCCAAGTGATCGAGTCTGGCTTAGGTTGCCCCCCCCCCGCTGTGAGGGGTCTTACCCGTCATTGACTTCCATCCAAGCTTTAGGGGGCAGGGAGAGGAACTGAGGCAGCATTTGCTACCAGAGACAAGCTTTGTCTCCTGCGACTAGCATTCCAAAGGTCGTCTCTCGCCCTTAGCCACAAGGGGTAGAGATACAATTCCTAAAATCTTGCAGAGCGGTCTACAACACTAACTGGCTATATAAGAAGCTAACAAATGTGGTTAGAGAGGTTGGGCAGAACTGGGTGAATGGGAAGGGGCTTTCCACAGTGTAACTCCATTCTTTGGGTTTTGAGCTTCATGAATGTATTACTTATTCAAAGGACTAAATTAAACATATTTTAAAGCAAACAAAAAGATATAAAAGACTTATGTAACATAACCAATAATGTATGTTAATGTGTCACCAAAACTTGCAGTTTACTCCTTTCTTTCTTACAGAACAGTCCCCTGAGTCCTAACTAGACACAAGATTTGAAGGACTTCCGCCAAGATGGAGGCATAGGTGGAAATACTTTGCCTTCTCACACAACCAAATCTAAAAACAACAAAGTTTTAGCAACAAAAACACAGCCAAGCCACAGAAAACTGAACAATAAGGAGTCCGACAACAACTAACTAGACACAAGATTTTACAGAATAACAGCTACATCCCAGCTTCACCTACAGCCAGGTACAGGCACATGACTAAGTTAAGGCCAATGAGTGTGTGCAATTTCTAAGTCATGTCCTTGAAGGAGAGTGACAGGCCCTGAGCTTCCCTTTCTCCCCTCCTCCCTACCAACTGAACCTCAGATGTGGCAATAATCAATCTGACCAAGTATAAACGAGGTCGATGACCTAAGGAACGTGGAGCACCAAGACAGGAGGATTCTGGGCCATCACTGTAAAACACACTTATGTAAGTTACTGTTAACTTAGGTTTCTGTTTGTAACAGCTACATGATATCCTCATAAAATACATAAATTGATACAAATATCCATATACTAAGCCATTAATAAGCATTAATAAAGTTTACAAAGTAAAAATAATATAATTATCTGATTACAATAAAATTAAAAAAACTATTAGCAAAGCCAAAATAAAAAATAATTCTACCACCTAGATGCCTAAACAAATTTATCTTAAAACAACCTTTGAGGCAAAGGAAATAAGCCACAGTTGCAGAATATTTTAAATTAATAGTGATGACAACCTACATATAAGAAACAATGAAATACAGCTAAAGCAGTGGTCACAGAAAAAAGTTATTATCTTAAATACTTATATTAATACATATACCATATATAAATGGAAAATAAGTAACTTGAGTATCCAACTCAAGAAATTAGAAAATACTACATAACAGTTTTAAAAGATAAAAGGCAGAAATTAGTAAGGCATAAACCAGAAAAATAAATAAATGCAAGATCTAGTTCTTAAGAAAAAAGAGATAAATCATTCTCTAGTTTAATCAAGAAGCAAGAAGAAAAGCTCGAAAAAACAACACAGGAAATTATTTTAAAGACACAGAAGAAACTAAAAGAATAAGAAACCATTTTAAGTGTCTATGCATAAATAAATTTTAAAACCTGGATGAGATGAACAATTTTCTAGGAAAATACAATGTATCAAAGCTCACTCCCAAAGAAACAGAAAATCCAAGTAGACCATTTACCATATAAAAAATAGGAAAGATTTTTATCAGTTAAGCTTTCCCCCAAAGCACAAGGTTTAGATGGCTTCACAGGTGGGTTTACTAAGTCAAGTACAGGCCATTTCAATGTCACTTTTAACAACTCAAAACACATAAAAGGAATGAAAGGTCGCTACCTAAAAACTGAAAAGGAAAAAAAGCTACAGATCAATCTCACTTTCTTTTTTCATTTGAGAGAGAGAGAAAGAGAGGGAGAGAGAGAGAGAGAATATTGATCCGTTGTTCCACTTATTTATGCATTTATTGATTTTTTCTTATAAGTGCCCTGACCAGGGATTGAACCAACAACCTTGGCATTGAGGACAAAGCTCTAACTAACTGAGCTATCTAGCCAAGGAAACCTCATTTATTTCCTTCCTTCCTTCTTTCCATTTCTTTCTTTCTCTTTTTAATAGATTTTATTTATTTATTCTTAGAGATGGGGGAAGGGAGGGAGAAAAAGAGGCAGAGAAACATGAAAACATGGATCAGCACCTCTCCCACGTGCCCCAATCAGGGATGGCCGACAACCCAGGCATGTGCCCTAACAGATATGGAGCCAGTGACTTTTTGCTTCGCTGGACAATGCCCAGCAAACTGAGCTACACCAATCAGGGCAGGGCAATCTCATTTTAAAATGCAGAAATCCTAGGTAAAATATTAGCAATAAAAATGCAGCAGCACCTTAAAAGAATGATAATTTGTGATCAAGCACAGTTTGTTCTGGGAATGTGAGGATGGTTTGATATTATAGAGATTAATATAATTTATTTTATTAATAGATATGGGAGAAAATATGGTTATTTTCATAAAAATTGAAAAGGCATTTGGTAAAATTTCAATGTCCACAGGGTACTTTTTTAATGTATGAATGTCTGCTTCCCTGACTCTCTACAATATGGTAAATTATCAAACTGGGTCTTTTACTGGATGATTTGTGAAAATTCTTTACATCTGACAAATGTACTGAGGATAGAATCTCTCCATTTTTATGAATTCCAATATATCCAACTGTCCTTTTGTAGCTCTAGGGTTTGTGCCTTAGTAAGAAAGGTCTTCTCTATTCTAAAACTATATAAAAATTCTCTCTCTTTTTTTTTCTTTATACATTTAATATTTGATGTTTAAGTCTTTAATTCCTCTGGAAATTACTTTGGAAGAAGCATTAAGGAAAGGTGCTTTGTTTTTCCTACATAGTTGGCCTGTTGACCCAACATGAGATATCAACTAAACTTTGGTACCAATGCCTTAAAATGCCAGCTATTTTCTATACTAAGTTTCATGATAGATTTGGGTTTATTTTTGCACTTTCCCTGCTCTTATACTGATTAATCTATTGAAAAAAATAGCATCAAAACTGTTTCAATATCTGCACCTCTATATTTTAAAATTTAATAGATGGCCCAACAAATTTTTATTACATATCAAAATGACAAAAGTTTTTACGGAATCGATTCCTGAAATGATAATTCAGAGGGAAACTATTTTATCCATTTTTTCCTTTTTGTGAATGTATAACTATGAAAAAAGTGACATTCACTGGCTATCTACTATGTGAAAAAACAGAAATAGATGTTAAGATTCATTGAGACGCTTCCTTCGAGTGGGGGCGTCTGTGTGCTCACAGAATCAGTGTTCATTCTCTCTGACACACACTGTCTTGACATAATCAGTCTTCACCCTCTGCCTCTGTCTCCCATACACACTCACATACACCCACTGTACGGTTAAACTCATACATACCTGTGCGATTTCTGTAACAGCCAGAGTAACTGAGAACGAGACTGCCTGACCAACGCTGCTCTGACAGGAAATGTCACGGGCTGACTGAGTTCCTTACAGATGCACTCCATCTCCCTCACCATTGTCCAACTGTAGCCTGAGATGAAAAGGAAGAAATTGAACTTTCTAATTGTGATACCAAAGTCAATTAAATAAAAATTAAACTACATATGCAAATTCATAGGTAATTCATATAAATTTCCATTTGAATTCAAAGTGAATTAAAATACCTCTTAATGCAAGAAAATGCTTTGGATGGAAAATGTAGATAAAAATTAAATTTAATATTGTGCCACAAGTGATCTACAGTAAGTTTAATTAAAATTTTAAATATTAAAAAGAATTTATTAATATCACAAATGCAAAGGAAGTGAATTTTGACACAGTGGCCTCTTTAAAGATTCTAAGATTCTTAGGTACTTGCTCATCATTAATACTCTCTATAAACTAAGATTTTCTATTTGTGTTAATTAACGTTTCTTTACCAAAAAAAAGATGGATACTACGTGTTTATTATCTGTTTAAATAATAATTAACTTAAATTTTTTAAAATTTATTTATTTATTACCTTTTTATTGAATTTATTGAGTAACATTTAACTTCAATTTTTAAATTTTCAGCTAGTCTAGATTTCAAATACATTCTACCTAAAATAGAAAGAGTGGTGAAATTGTCTTTTATATATGTGTGTTTTAAATCATATTAGAACATTGTAGAAAACACACTTAACTGTTTTATGAACAATTTTAGGAAAAAATTATATTTTTAAAATAACCCTAAACTCTATTAAAAGCAGGTTGTAAAAGGTATTGGTCAGTAAGGGAACATTTTATGGAAAGCTTACATGAATACATTAGTTTAGCAGCTAAATTTCTCATGAAAGAAGGAAAATGATTTCCTTTAAAATCTGAAAAATTATGTTATAACTAGAAAAAACTGCTAACATAAAATATATATTTACATTACTATAAACTTATAAACTCATTTTTTCTATAATCTCTGGCCAAAGAAGTAAGAGAAGATAAAACACATGCTGGTAACAAAAAGCGGCCAGTGGGGAAAAGTAGCCTTAAAACCTTCAACATCCACAGGACTTAAAGACCTGGTTTAACCCAGTCCAAGCCCAAGGTTAAAACCTGAGTTAAACAGTGACTAACAGGAGTTCAGGATCAGTAAGGAAGCTGCTAAATCATTTCTAGTTTACCTTCTTTAAACACTTTAAATGTCACTACTCACTAGCTAGCAGTTATTCTAATATCATGTTAGACTTAAAAACTTTATATATAAAAACAATAATAGCAAATAAGTTACAAAAAAATGTCCTGAACACAGGATAAAGGCTAACATCTCCACAGGTTCTGAACACCTTCATAGTTTATCATTTTTACCATGTGGACAGATGTCCCAGAGCACCTGATTGCTTACTGGCTATTTACCTGGAAATCACTACCTAGGGACATATGAAGTAACAGAAAGATGAGTAAGTGTGATAAGTTTCAGCCAGGAAAATGAAGTTGAAAGTATCAGATGCATCTGTAGGACTATGTGAAGAAGAGATGGAACCTGGAGGAGAGTCTCGTGGCCTCCCACTCTCCTGTCCGGCCAAAGAGAGCATGATGGCAGCAAGGTCCCAGCACCTCGGCTGGAGCCCCTTTCAATGTCTAGGGGGCGTGCGCTCCTCAGCCACACCCCCACTACCTCTGGCCTCACGCCACTGAAGAGCTCTTATGACCACTTCTTCATCTCTCATCTGACACAGGGAGTTTGCTCCACAGTCAAGGGAAAACAAAGATTATAGAATGTTTTACAAGTTCAAAGAGACCAGCTCAGGATTTGTTTAATGAGGCAGCTTTCATTACTCTAGACCCTGCAAATGAATATTTCTCGTGGAAGCTTGGAAACAGAATGTCACCAATGAATGCAGTGTCTACCTGAAATAATAGAAAGAAGAATCATACACACAAGTTTAGGGCCAGACCTTTCTCTCCATAGGCTCTTATATTTTGTGGAATGTGTTTTTTGTTTTGTATTAAAGGTATTTCTTTTTATTTTAGGAGGATATTTTAATTTGACCGAGAAGAAATACATTTTTTAAATTATTACCTTCATTGACTTTCTCAGGATGCCATCCTGTTGTCCAGCCCAGGGAAAATGTCACATCTGGAAAGAAGGATGTCACAGTCTCTATAAAAGGTTTTGCATTTACTACTCTGCTATTCCCATTTGGACCAGGAAGAATATCAGCATTAATCCACACAGGACGCTTCAGATGCCTCTTCACATTTTCCAAGAGTATCATGGATGGTTCTACAGCTGCCAGACTGAAATTACAGTTTGTTGTCAATGAGGGGTATTCATAAAGTAAGAATAAAAAGAAGTTCTTTTAGACTGGTGGTTTTAATGTTCTCAAATTCATAATAAAAGTATAATACAGTAGTCCTGGCCAAATGGCTCAGTTTGTTGGAACATCGTCCCATGCACCAAAGGGTTGCAGGTTTGATTCCCTGTCATGGCACAAACCTAGGTTGCAGGTTTGATCCCCAGTCAGGGTGCACACAGGAGGCAACCTATCTTCCTTCCTTCCCTCTTTCCTCTCTCTCTTTCTCCCTCTTCCCATCTCTAAAAATCAATAAATACATCCTCAGGTGAGGATTTTCTTTTTAAAAAGTATAATATAATAATGCCTGAATTAAATAAAATCAAAGATCACATAGCACCAGAGAGGAAAATTAACATATGCCATTCACAGAATGTTGACTTATTCATGAAGGCACATTAAAGGTTCTATAACTGTCTCAACAATGACAATTGTGGACGGATGGAGGTTTCAAAACTGCATATTAGGATCACCCACTATAAAAACAATTTAAAAAAAGATACAGAGTCACTCATCAGAGAATATATAAAAGGTTTTAAAATCAGAGAAACTCATAACCCACAAATTCACACTGATGAAAATATTCAAAGTGAATGCAGCTACCGCATCTCTAGTAGTAGCTCATGACCTCGGAGAAAAGAACCTCCTTTCTTACACGTATTCTTGTATGAATCTGGACAACAAACACATTTCTGAAAATGATTGCAAAGTGTAAAATTATAAAATTGCCTTAAGACTTTTATAAACTTTATTTTTTTCCCTTTACTTTAAACACATTTTCTGGAAAGTAGAGACAACTGTATTTTAGCTACTTTTAAATAAAGAAGCGACTTCACTCTTTTTATTTCCCAACATCAATTCTGACAACTAGAGATTTGTAAACAATAAGATTTAGTTTTTTGTTTTTTAATTTTGTTTACACTCACACAGGACATTTTTTCATTGCCCTTAGAGAGAAAGGGAAGGAGAGAGGAAAGGAGAGAAACATGGATGGGTTGCCTCCTGCCCAGATCTGGGATTGAACCTGCAACCTAGGCATGCGTTCTGACCAGGAATCAAACTCACAACCTTTCAGTTTTACAGGATGACAGTCTAGTCAACTGAGCCATGCTGGCGGGGGCAACAATGATATTTTAGTCAGCTTACATAATTTTTCCTTTTAAAAAATGTATATACAAACTTTACTGGGAAACTACACTAGTTATAATTCTGAACTACTTCTAAACATTTAAGGCCTATTTGATTTATAAGAAAATCAACTTTTAATGAAAACTGCAGTGGGAAGCGAAGAATTTTGGAAATGGGTGTTGGAGGGGAAAACGTTCAGCAGCCTCTTCTCACATTTCTGTCTTTCTACCTAAGGGACAGAAGTCCTTCTGCCCGTGCTTCTACTGCTCTTCACTCCGCTCATGGTGAGCCCTCTACTTTAAGAAAACTGAGAATCCCATCGTTTCTTGGGTCACGTTTATTAGTGAGCAAGGGATACTGTGCATTAAAAACAGAGGGAACCAGCCTGTGGCCTTTCACTCTGCTCCCATGTAAGAAGCTCTTTTTTCTCCTCCTTCTGCCCCTGGAGTGGAGACTATATATATATATATATATATATATATATATATATATATATATAATTTAAAATATAAAAAATTATATATATATAATTTAAATTTTTTTTTCAATTACAGTTGACCTTCAATATTGGTTGGTATTGGTTTCAGGTGTACAGCACAGAGGTCAGACAGTCACATACTTTACTCAGTGTTCCCCCCAATATTTCCAGTACCCAACTGGCACCATACATGGTGTTACAATATCACTGACTGTATTTCCTATGTTGTACTTTACGTCTCTGTGACTATTTTGTAACTACCAATTTGTACTTCTCAATCCCTTCACCTTTTTCACCCAGCCCCCCAACCCCAATCTTGCAGACACTAATTTACATGCTGTCATTTCTCTGTCTTAAATGCTCTCTGCCTTGAATGGTATCAATACCATGTTAAAAACCACAATTCTAAGAATCTCACATTGGACTTCCTACAAATTTTCCCATTTTTGGTAGCAAGTAACGTGTGCTTGTGACTCCACTGCTTACCCGTCTGCAAGTCCCACGAGGGTGTTCCCTTCCTGGGTGCAGTAGGGGGAAACCCTGGAACTCTCTTCCAGAAAGGACTCTGATTTCTTGGGAAATCCAGTGTCTATAGAGGTTGTGGGAACTTTTTAGGCTTTCTCAATTCAGTAAACTGACATGCGGCTGTTTAACATTTGTTTTTCCATTTGACAATATCTAGTGTTAAAGAGCATTTTCTTCCCCAAACTGAAATTCCACCAGCATACACAAGTGTCTACTACATGTAAAGCACTGTGCCGTAAGATGCTATGACACAGAACATGACAAAGCAAGAATTTAATACACATACTCCATTTTATATGTAAATATTTTAATTGCCACTAATGTAGAATACAAATACAAAAAGTAATAATGCTTTCCCTTACAGAAACTTGAATAAGAAAAACAAAACCTACATTAAGAAAAACGTAAAACCTTACTAAGAAAAATTAAACCTTTGTTGTTATAGTTCTTAGTTTTTCTAGAACTTGACAAAAAGCATTCTAAAAATGTAAATGTGGAGGAAAAGCCAGGAGGATGGGCCATGATCGGCTGGCCGTGGTCTGACCCATTACTTGGAAGGAGGACATCAGCCTCTATCATGTGAGCCGTACCTGTCCAGACAAAAGGACTGTAAATATTGCAGAAGGACCCATCCCTCCCAGATAATATATACATTCCATGTAATTCCGATTGAAAATACCAGTGGCCAACGTTCTCACTCCTTCCTTGTATCAGTATCAGGTTTCCTGTGAAGAACTGCCATGTTGATCACCGGAAGAGGGAAGTCTTGAGCAGAATACTACCTAAAATTTCTCTTTGCTTAGTACTTTTCTAAGTCCCCAGAAAAACTACAAACTTAGTTTTTATAGAAGAGGTTCTTTTTCTAAATAGTTACTTGTATGTCAAACTTCTGAGTATCACATCCTATTTTCCTGTTCATTTCATTTAGAAATTGGGGGTAACACAATAAAAATTATACTCAAAATTGCAATAAACCATTTAAAATTACTTTTACAAGAAATAATTATCATCAGGAATAGTTTTGTTGTTGTTGTTTAATTTATTGATTTGAGAGAGAGAAACAGGGATTTGTTGTTCCCCTTGTTTATTGTTGTTCCATTTACTGGTTGCCTCCAGAAGCCCTGACCAGATAGATATTGAACCCACAACCTTGGCACATTCAGATGATGCCCTAACCAACTAAGCTGCCTGGCCAAGGCCCCATTTCAATTTAAATAAAAGCACAAAGTTAGTTAGTCAGGCACAGATATAAGAGGATATTAACTTTCTCCCCCTACCAGAATTATTCTGTAACAAGCAGAAGACTGCACATATTTGTATAAATACCTCTTGAAATCCAGCTTGATGCCTTTATTGCTTTTCACAACTTCAGTCAGCCATTCATGTAGAGTATTATCACTGCTTGATTCAGGAGGATGGGCCATGATCGGCTGGCCGTGGTCCGACCCATTACTTGGAAGGAGGACATCAGCCTCTATCATGTGAGCCGTACCTGTCCAGACAAAAGAACTTAAGTTAATGCTAACAAAATAGGGACTGCAGAAGACTCCCCGCCTGGTATTCTTTTCAGGAAGATAAAAAGAATAATAGAAAACTACCGTTTACTGAATTACTACTAAGTGCCAGGTACTGTGCTGGGTCTTTACACGTTGTTCTTGTTTTTTTACAAATGAGCAGACATCTGGTGAGGAGTTAAATATCATTCCCACACAGTGTTTAAGCTGTTGTCATATTATTTAATTTCTTCCCAGTATATGCCAAAATGAACATACAAAAGAAGGCTTAGTAACTATTTATTTCAGTTTCTGAGAATAAAAATATTACTTTTATCTTCTTACTCCTCAAATTAGAAACTGCAAATATTTATTGCTTATGTTTCAGATTCCTTTCTTTGACTTGAAGCTTAGCTACTGTTTAAAGGCTGTGGACAAAAAAGGGGCCACACACTAAACCTGACAAGGTTGGGGGAGGCCCGAGAGGCAGGTATTACAAACTCATAGACCAAAAGTAACCACATAGGATGGTCTGAACATAAAAATTTCTAACTAAATGCAAATCGCTGCAGGTAATCACATCCTAGGCCTTGAGCTTCCTAAATACAGGTCAATTTTACTTTAACTGAGCCTGTCTACCATCTTTTTGCATCTAAGACAACATACCCTAAAATGTCAGAGCAATTCCCTCTCTCTGGAGCCCTCAGAGAACGAGACCCCAGAACCCCTCGCTGTTATCTTGTTCCTCAAATACTATCCCTCTGTGCTGTAAATGTTATTAACTATCCCTTTCCCAAAAATGTAAAAAAAGTATGTGTACCTCCATTTAACTCTGTCTCCAATCTCAGAGATTTCTCCCCTTTGCTTTCTCCTGCCTCCCTAATCAATGCATTTCATGTCACTGCCCTTGTATCTCCTTTGATTCTAATGTATACGATAAGATGTAAAACTGCCATTCTCTGGAGCAGTTTTTCAGTCTGTTGAGATTTACTTCCCAGCAACTGTCGTCAGTTTGGTTCACATAAACTCATAAAAATTCTGTACAGGTTTGGACATCTCTTACATCGACAAAGCACACATCCCTGGAATAGGTGATAAGCTTCACCAGTCACAGTGTGAATTTGTTTAGCAGGCTGCGGTGGACTGACTCCAAAGATGGCTGACAATTCCTCCTATACGTATATAAACCTCTCTTCTCTTCTCTTTTTCCCCCCCTTGAGTGTGGGTGGACCTTGTGACTTGCTTAACCCAACAGAAGATAATGGAAGAAAAACCATCAGTTCTAGTTCTAGCCCTTAAAATGACCAGCAGCTCCTGCTTTCATCCTCTTGTAAGGCCGCTGCCATGCAAAGTGTTCAGGCGAGACTACAGAGGACAGCACCACGAGGGGCCCCGCCTCCACCACACGGAAGAGAAGAACAACCGGCTGACCCACAAAGTCATGAGGAATGATAAACCACTGTTATTTTAAGCCACTAATTTTGAGGTTAGTTTGTTATGTAGCAGTAGGAAAAATAGTTATCTGGAAGTGAAGCGTTGCCATAAAAGCCTGAAACATGGCACTGGCATTAGGACCTAGTAGAATTCTAGAAGGGCGGGGAGTTGGACGAGCAATGAGGAAATTCTTATTGGAAGCTCGAGAACAGACCACCTGTTTTATATAGAAATGGAATTTTGGCAACATTGCCACTTGTAGCAACTGGTGAAAGACAGAAAGGGTACCTAATAAATTTACAGATTTGGCCAATGAGTTCTCCCTGCAGAATACTGAAAGTGCCAACTGGCTTCTTTTAGCTGCCTAGATAAAGAATGGGAAGAGAGAGTGAGTTAAATAACCACTCAGATTTTAGCATATAGAAATATTTCCAATTCAGGACTTGTGCTGATTTAGAAAATGAAATCTATCCCCTTTAGTTGGCAAAAGAGTCTCAAAGTGAGAGACAGCCTCAGGAAAAAGTCAAATCCAGGGTGCTGCCTATAGACTATGACCTGTGAGTTAAGGTCAAGTCAAGGGTGCAATCTCAAGACCATTTGTTAAGAGAAAGATGGTGCCTCATGTACCCATAAGCTGGACAAAAGAAATTCTAGAATCCGAAGGGTGTTGTCTCGCAGCATCCTAACCAGCAGACCAAAGCAGAGAGAGGTTTGGAGTTAAGGTGTTTGATTAGAGGAATGGTTTATAACTTGATATACAGAAAGCCCACTATATTTTTAATTGTACTGTATCCACTTGGACCAAAAAAGAAGAGGTAGTTTGGAAGGAGAAGAGGTCTGTGGGCTCTCAAACTTCCACAAGCAGGACACAGACTAAAAGATTACTTGGCTGCAAATTTGAGCTATTTTCCCAGAAACATATAAGAGTTGATCAACAACATTGGGCTTTAGGGAAATGCAAATATAAACCATAATGAGATAGTAATTCGTATACACTGGGATGGCTATAATGAAAAAGACAGTAACAAGTTGCCAAGGAAGTAGAGAAATCAGAATCTTCATTCACTCTGCTGGAGGAATATAAAAAGGTACAGCTGCTTTAGAAAAGTTTGGTATTTTCTTAAAAACTTAAACAGTGTTACCTAGTGTTACATGTGACCCAGGCACATAGACAAGGGAAGTAAAAACATGTCCATTCAAAACTTGTATACAATTGTTCATAGCAGCATTATTTATATTAGCCAAGAAAAAAACCTGAATAGGTCAGCAAGACATGATATAACATACAATTTAATATTATTCAGCCACAAAAAAGAATAAAGTGCTGATATATGTTACAACATAGATGGATGTTGAAAGCATGCTAAGTGAAATAAGCCAGTCACAAAAGGCCACATATGAAAGTGAAGTATAAGCTGCTACCCTGAATTTTGATTCTTGGCTCAGGAGAAGTCTCTGAGGAAGTGGCAATTCAGCTGATACCCAAGGATGCAGAAGAGAGTAGCCAAGCAAAGGGTGAGGAAAGAGCATTCCTGGGAAGCGTACTCATGACAGCCTGAGGAGGAAGAGAGCTGAGCCATGTGCAGAACTACAAGGGCAGCATGCTGCACCCGTGACGGGTGCAGTTGGAGAAACAGGCTAGTTCATGCAGGGCTTTACAGGTTATTGTGGTGGTTTGAAGACTCCAATAAATAGCAACCCCTTCTCCACATGGATTCATGGAGAAATAAAAGACCCAAGTTGGCAGATGGGGTTCACTGCATTACCTTTATTACCTACAAAGCTAGTTCAGAAGATGCAGCTTAGTAGAGAGCTAAATGAGCTTGCCAACTCCTAACTTCTATACCTCCCAGTAAAACTTTGGAACAGCCTCTTTTGAGCCACATTCCAGCAAATACAAATATGCAGACTGCTGCTTCCCATGGTCTAGGTGGAAGAGGAGAGAAAAGCACACTCATTTGTCCAGAATCTTTGATACATCCACTCTATCCAGTCAAAAAGAACACACCAAAAATTATCTTTACCTCTATAAGAATAATCAGGGAGGCAGACTCCAAAGCACTTAGGGAAATAGCTCTCCTCCTGGTAACCAGAGCGGTAGAACAAGGAAGTCCCACCCACAGCTACAGTAAGGATTTTTAATGGACAACCATTAAAGAGCTTTAAATTAAACAGGCTTGATTCATGCTGAAAAACACCACTAAGGATGCTAGGTAGAAAATGAATGGAACAGGAGCAAAAAGTGGCAGCAATAAAATGATTGACCAAAGCAGGGCTGACTCATACCTACTGGCTGTTTCTGGGGGCAAGTTCACAGAAATTCAGATTGGAGCTAATAAAGTAACTTATTATCTCACATAGATAGAAGTCCAGAGCTAGGGTGGGCTCCAGGTGTGCTATAATCAGCAGCTGGGCGATGTTATTAGTGTCTTCGTGTCTCAATTCTTGACTACCCTTGGTGTGTCTTCAGGCTGATTTCTACTATGATGGTAAGATGGGTGACAGGTGACTACACCACTGTGGCTACAGACTTCAGTGTTCACATAGTTCAGTGTTAAGGTAGAAATCTCCTTTTGAGCCAGGTTAGATCACTTGCCTACCACGGTAACAATATTGAAACAGCACACAAACCACATTGGCCAGCTTAAACCAGTACTACATCCTTAAAGCAGATCGATGATTAATACAATCTTGAATTGTTTTACGGAGACAGTACTGCACATGTGCCCCTGGAACCAAAGGATCGGGATAAGAGCAGAACTTGAACACTGGAACCCTTTCAGAAGCAAAGGGTCTGTTGTCCAGGAAGATCTGATGCTAAGCCTCTTACCATACATGGCCAAGTTCCAAAACTCCCCAAACTGCCCTGCCAGCACTTCTGCATACCCCGTCCCAGTAGCTCCTTCAGACTCTCTGATTTTAAGCCATCAGGAGGTTTGGGCTTCTGAGTAACAGCTTTCCACTTCATCTCGAGGCATGCTAGCAATAAAACAACCCTCATTTCTCTACTGCAGTTCTCAGTGTTCAGTGTTTGTTTCTCCTGGTTCCGCGTGGACAGACTCTTTCTGTTCTGAACAATATGAATCATCGAGGGAACTCCAAGCGCTGATTAGTTTATTCTGCTCATCCACCCTGGGCCTAGGAATGGAATCAGCTTCCATGTGGTTGTATGGATTCCCCAAATTATAAAACTTGGGCCTCCAGTTGCCTAACGGGAAGAAAGGAGGGTATTATCTGAAGATTAAGTAAGTAACCTATGAGAACTTCCAAGATCGACACCAGACTGCCAGCAACTGGAGATGACCTACCATTAGTAATTTTAAAAACAAAGTTAAAAGGAAAGTGTTCATATTTAACTAGATTATTTCTAGGTGTGAAACTTCTATGTACCCTATTATGAAGCATGCATTTTTAAGATTTTTTTCCCAAATTTTTAGTTGTTGTCACATAGAAATACAATTTATTTTCCACTTTGACTTTGTCTTGACATTTCTAAATTTACCTATGAATTACAATAATTTATCTAGGAATCTTCGTGATATTCCATATAATAACCATATATCTATAAATAAGTTTTATTTTTTCTTTTTCTACCACTTTTCGATTTTTTTAAATTGACATATAATTCACATACTATAAAAGTCACCCTTTTAAAGTGTACCATCCAGTGGTTTTCAGAAGATTGTGCAACCATCACCACTATCTAATGCCAACAAATTTCATCATCCTGAAAAGAAACCCTGTACCCATTAGCATTCACTCTCTATTCCCTACCCCTGCCAGCTCCTGGCAACCATTGTTGGGAACAGCTCTGCCTGGTTTCGGGAACTGTAACTGCCCCCCACGGCTAAGGCTGAGTGAGTGACCTCTGGGATGTGAGCCGCAGGAGACAAAGCTTGTCTCTGGTAGGGAACGCTGCCTGTTTCCTCTCTGCCCTCAAAGCACGGTCAGTAGTCAGAGACCAGGTAAGACTCCTCACAGCAAAGGGCAACCTAAACCAGACTCCATCACTTGGGAGGCCATCATAGAAAGACTGGGGGGGGGGGGGGGGGGGGGGGAGGCTGCAACAAAGAGCAAACAATGGACCCTTGCCCCCCAGCTATTCTGACACAGCTCAAGTCTCCATGTCCTCTGGGAAAAGTGCTTCCTAGCTCTAATCCACTTAAACCTGAAAACTTGATGGGGAGGGGTGCAGCTCCTTGCCTTGCTAGAGCAGATCCAGGGAAATCTGACATAAGAAAGAATTCCTAAACATCCTGTGAAACCTGCTCTGCTAAGAGTGCTTTCATTCATATGATAAGGGTCCAAGCAGGAAATGAGTATGTCTCCCAAAGTTCTGCAATCCCCTTCCTGACAGACTCTGACTCAGACTAAGCCCTCAGATTTCTTTGAAATGTTATCTACTGTTTGATCCTTGCCACCCTGTATTCCTGTGATTTACAACCCAATAAAAGCCCCTAGAGGAAGGGGCTCAAAGCCTTTTTCCTCAGAGAAACTGGCCACCTCTCCTCCCCAAGCAGATCATGTCTTGGTAGTATTTACTTTCATCCGTGGTGGATGGGGAGACTTGAGGGCAAAGTTGCTCCCACAAACCATGAGTCAATGTTTTTCCTGAAGCATTGCTTTTGCTAAAATCCACTTATTAATAATCACTCTGCCATTATTATGTGCCAGATACTCTTTTGGGTATTAGGGATTCAATATTAAACAAGACAAAGCACCTCCCTTTGAGAAACAAAGAAAAACAATGTAAAACAATATCTTTACAATACAAGAAATTCATATTCACATACATTATTCAGATATGTGATAGGGTAAAATGCAAAAAAAAATGCATGCACTTTACAATAAAACATGAGATTCCAAGGAATTTTCCTTGTTGGACGGGTCACTTCAAACTATTCAAAAGCCATCGAGTGACAGACGTTCACCATCCTCTGCTGCTACAGCCAAAGGGGGCACTTCCTAGGGAAAGGCTGAGAGAACACTACAGAGTTCATCTACATAATGAAGGGAGATATACACAGATACAGATTATAGGTAGATATAGATATAGACAGATATGATTATAGATGGAGTTAGCAAGCCAGAAGTCTTGGTTTCTAGCTGAGGCACAAATATTGCCCACAGTAATTAATTATAAATTAGTGTGCAATGGCTTCACCCATCCATTCAACAAAGAGTTATTGAGCCTCTCCTTCGTACACCGTGAAACACAAAAATATGTAAAACACATGATCCTGATCTTAAAATTTTTGCTCAAAAAAATTACATTATAATATAAGCAAGTGCAATAATACAGAAGAGTTTCAAATAAGACATAAAAATGGTAAATTACTTCTAGAAAATAAGAAATCCTTCCATTATGAAAATTTGTTCATTTTGTAAACAAAATGAGATCCTTTATAAAAATGTTTATGTCATCTTATCACCCTGGTTGGGTGGCTCAGTTGGTTGGAGCACTGTCCCATACACCAAAAGGTTGTAGGTTCCATTCCTGGTCAGGGCATATGTCTAGGTTGCGGGTTCGATTCCAGTCAGGCTGCATGTGGGAGGCAACCAATCGATGTTTCTCTCTCACATGGATGTTCCTTTCTCTCTCTCTTTCTTTTTCTCTCTCTCTACCATAGATAAAATCAATAAACACATCCTCAGGTGAGGATTAGAGTAAAAAATGTTTGTATCAGCCTATAATTTACACTTGGATCATCTAAGTCTCTGGTACCTGTAAATATGCTCAGATATAAAAAAAAGCAGTAGAATTCACCTATTATCAATGTGAATATGAACAATCACACAGACTTACTTTTCAGTGCCTCCTTCATCTGTGCCTTGTGGTTGGCTGCGTGATACCAAGTGATCTGGGCACCGTCTTCTGTAGTTATCTGGTTACTTCTCAGAAAATACTGCAGTATATTTTCACTCCAAGATCCTAAAACAACAGCATTTGCACGAAAACAAATAGATTGTATTACATGAAGTAAAAAAATTTTAACAGAAAAAGAGCATAGCCTATAATGAGAGAGAATAATAAAGTAATTAAACTGAGAAAAACATGAGATGTTAAAAAGATAAAGCATTATGCCGTGGCAGGTTAACATATATAAATATATAAACATGCTATATATGAAGTAAGTAATGATTAGTAAACATAAGATAGTCTGGACCTCTGAAGCATGAAAACACTGGCAAGAAACATAAAAAAAAACTGGTAAGAAACATATATTTTAAAGGAGAAATTTTCACATTTCATCATCTCCAATCCTGGCCCCATAAATAAGTAAAATATATGTAAAGCCGGAGCTGTATTAAAAACTTCTAAATTTTGTACAATTTAATTGTTTTCTCCATCTGAAGCCCTGCTCTATATTTATATTAACAATTTAGAATCTTAAATTACACATTTAATCACTCTCGGCCTTTTGGCTAAGATCAGGTATAACATCTGTTCTTATCAGTTTAAATTACACATTTAAGCATTTTTACCTTCAGAGTATGAGTCTCAGCACCATTTATCTGAGTGACTAAGTAAATTCTTGAGTTAATATTCTCAGATTTATCTATCTTGTACAAATATACATAATTCCCTTATCTATCAACTACTTTTTGGCACACAAATTTTCTCTTAATTAAACATGAAAATATGAGTTAACTGAGACTAGCACACTTGAACCCAGATCTACTCCAAATTATACTATATCCTATAATAACAATGAGAAAAAGGTCAAAAACAATGAAAACAGTCCTCTGTAATCTTATCTCTCTAGTTCTTGTTCATTTATTCAAACATTTAAGTACCTACCAAGTGGCTGCAAATTCCCTATGCATGAGATTTTGTCTTATGTTAATTGTTTATTAACTCTGCCTAACAACAGTTAAAAAACTGAAAATGGCCATCATGAACTTCGGATCAGACACTGAGAAAAAGTAACATTTGATTAGCGAATGGAGGAGCATTTAATTAACAAACTAACTTCTCAACCACTCTGTATGTTGGGCTACAGAATACAGGAGAGAACCGGCTGTACCATCCACTACCCCCCAGGCAGCTTTCTACCCAAAACACGTGGCCCTAATGTAGCATATGTAATAAAGTCTGAGACTTTAAGATGAAAATACTAGGCTATCATTTTTTAAATATTTACGTTGCGCATTTTTAGAAGGCACATTATTTACAACAGACACGTCTGACAATGCAAAAATAGTTAAATGTTAGTATAATTTCAAGATAAAGTATGTGATTAATGTAGATGTTAAGAATGAAGTTTTTGAGATACACCAGAAGATTCACAAAAAAGGTAATCATGCATGTCACCAGAAAAAACTAAATATTAGTTGATGGTGTGTACCGGATGTGTACACAGCACCATTCAACTAAACACATTACAGTCAAAATTTTTATAAGGGGCCCTGGCTGGTGTAGCTCAGTGGATTGAACATGCACCTGCAAACCAAAGGATCGCGGTTCAATTCCCGCCAGGGCACATGCCTGGGTTGCAGGCCAGTTCCCAGCAGGGGACGCATGAGAGGCAACCGTACATTGATCTTTCTCTCCCTCTTTCCTTCCCTTCTAAAGATAAATAAATAAAATCTTTAAAAAATAAATTAAAAAAATTTTATAAGGGCAACTTATAGATCAATGATAAAATACCATGACTCCAGAAATTAAAAATTTTAATTTAATTTGGGATCTCTGGTATCCAAATTCCACCCGGTACAGGTGGAATTAAGTTTGTTATCCTTGCCCTGTTAATGAATAAAACTGCCACCTGATACTTAGTCACAGCTGTATATATCTATAGAATTTAAGAAGACTCCAATTAGCCATGATCTAGGATATTTAGTACTATTTAAGTAGGCTGTAACTCTGAAAACTGGGCCAGGAGAAAGGCAAAATTAGTTACAACTTTTATTTTTATTTTTTTGTGTGTGTTTCTTTTTTCTTTCCATCACCATTTCGTCACCTTACACCCCCCACCCCATGCCCTGCGATCGCCACACTGTTGTCCTGCAACTTTTAAAATTAAGACTTTGGGACAAACAGTTTTAGCTCTATAGAAAAAAAACTGAGTGAAAGGTACAGCGAGATCACATATGACCCTCCCCCTATTCTTACATCTTTTTGTGGTGATGAAAATGTTTAAAAATTGATTGTAGTGACAGTTACACAACTCTGAATAAACTAAAAAAGCCAATAAATTACATGCTTTGAATGAATGAATTGTAAGGTATGCAAATTATCTCAAAAAGAAGAAAAAAAGAAAAAAGTTCTTTTTTTTTTAAAGATTTTATTTATTTATATTTAGAGGGGAAGGGAAGGAGAGAGGGAGAGAAACATCAATGTGTGGTTGCCTTTTGTGCATCCCCTGCTGGGAACTGGCCTGCAGGGAACCGGCCTGCAACCCAGGCATGTGCCCTAACTGGGAATCGAACCGCGATTGTCTGGTTCACAGGCCCACGCTCAATCCACTAAGCTACACCAGCCAGGGCCAAAATAAGTTCTTAATAAAGAAAAATACATCTTTGGCCCAGAAATTCTATTTTCATAAATTTTCATAAATTTTCCCCATAAACAGATATGTTCACATGTGGGGAATGATATATTTGATACAAAATATTTATTGCAGCATTGTCTGTAATGGTAAAAAAGTGAAAATAACCTAAATATCCACCAACAATATATTCACTAAATAATTACGGTATATCTATGCAATGGAACATTATTCAGCCATTAAAAAGAATGAAGCAAATCTATATGTACAGATATAGTGTAACCTCAAGACACATTAAGTGAAAAAAAAAGGCAAGGTAGAGACTAATACATATTTTTCTTATTTATTCTAATAGGAAAAATAATGACACCTGGCCTCCAAAGATATCTATGTCCTAATCCCTGGAAACTGTGAATATGTTATATTATATAGCAAGAAGGAATTAAGGTTATAGGTGGAATTAAGTTTGTTATTCAGCTGACTCTGAGGTGAAGATGAGGCAGGAGACAACATAGGAAGAACTCTGAGACTGCAATACTGTTACTGGCCAGCATCTAGCATCCTGGTCGCCAGGAAACGCCTTTTACCAGCGAGGTACATTAAATAGTAAACCCAGGCAGGGAGGAGGAAGGAGACAGGTCTCACATGATAACTCAGCAGTCCTGAGCCTGGGCTGATAATATTGCCAGGTGCTCCAAGAAACACTATGTTAGCAAGAAAAGGAAGTCCTTGAAATTCTATGTAGCGTTTCCACTACCTGGGAAAGAAAGCCTTGAAACTGTGCTTTCATTCCAAGGCCTGAATGTGGAAGAGGATCCCTGGTACCCAAAGAAGAAGCCCATAGAACAACTTTGGTTAACTGCCTACCTCTGGTCACTATCTGTTTTATGAGGGAGTCCCTGCTGCTTATAGAAAGAGCCCATAAATAACTCTGGAAAGTGCCCCAATTTTAATTAACTGCCTCCTGTCACATATTTGCTTTACAACAAGATAAACAAATGGAGTCTGGAGCAAGATAAGGATTCGAGCTAACCGACCCCCACACATACCTAAGTTTGGGTCATCACATTCCCCCAGGAAAGCTGGCACCGCATTTACCCATTAATCAATATGTAAGTTTTTTCTCCTATTCCACCAACTATATAAGTCCTCAGAACAAAGGACTTACTCTCTCTCTAGGGGGCTCAGGGCACTCTTAAGGCTCCTGGCTCCAGGGCCACAGGGCCTCTGGGCCTCTGGCCACCCAGCCTCAGGCTGCCTGGGGGCTTGCCACCCTGGTTTTCAGCCGCTCTTACTTTTGTCACCCTGCTTTGCCCTGAGACTTTGCCTTTCACCTGCTACTCTACCCAGTCCTGTTCTCTTCCATGGGAACAGACCACTAATAAACTAGATTTGCTGATCTGTAATTCTTTACATGCGTCAGCAAGAAGAACCAGGTCTCTCCTGTGGACAAAGATAGTAGCATAAATCACCCGGGTGGGCCTCACAAGGCCCTTATAAGTGCAAGAGGGAGGCAGGAGAGTCAGTGTCAGAGTAATGCAGAATGAGAAAGACTCAACCAGCCATTACAGGCTTTGAAAATGCAGGAAGAGACAGTGAAGCAAGAACTCAAGCAGTCTCTAGAGCAGGGGTGTCAAAGTCATTTTCACGGAGGGCCACATCAGCCTCATAGTTGCCTTTAAAGGGCCGAATGTAATTTCAACTTCTTAACAGTTAAGGAGTAGTTACATTTATACAGTCCTAAAATTATTTTGGCCTTTTGAAAGCAACCACAAGGCTGATGCGGCCCCCGGTGAAAATAAGTTTGACACCCCTGCTCTGGAGGTTGAGAAAGGCAAGAAGGCCAATTTTCCCCTAGAGCCCAACGGAGGGAGGGCAGCCATGCTGACACCTAGGTTTTAGCTCAGTGAGACCCATTTCAAATTCCAGCCTCCAGAACTGTAATATATATCTGTGTTGTCCTAAGCCACTAAAAACTAATGCTTTAAAAAACTAGTTTGTATGTTTTTTAAATAGTAAGAGAACATTTAAAAAGAGATATACAGTATATGATGGCAAGTATACTATGACCTAAACTATATTTTCTTAAAAGTTAGAATTGTTAGAAAATAGGAGCATACCATAAACTTACTATTGGTGCCTCTAAGTATTGTCATTATGTGGATTTCTTTCCTACATGGTCTACAATAAGCATGCATTATGTTTATAGTCAGGAAAAATTTAAACTGTGAAAAGGATGAAGGATACAATGTTAATAATACACTGAACTGAGTTGAGTTCCTTTATATGAGTAAGAAATAAGTGGAATATAAAATGAAAAATAACATCATTTACATTATCACCCCCAAACATGAAATACTTAGGTATAAATCTAACAAAATATGTACAAGATCTATATAAAAAAAACCCTGCAAACTCTGATGAATGAAACCAAAGAACTAAATAGAGAGATGTTCCATGTTCATGAATAGAAAGACTCAATATTGTCAAGACGTCAGTTCTTCCCAACTTGATCTAAAGATTTAAGCAATCCTAATCAAAATCCCACCAAGTTATTTTCTGGCTACTGAGAAACCGATTCCAAAGTTTATATGGAGGCAAAAAAAAAAAAAAAAACCAAACCCAGAAGAGCCAACACAATATTAAAGGAGAACAAAGTAACGATACTACCCAACATTAAGACTTACTGTAAAAATACCATATTCAAGACAGTGCAATATTAGTGAAAGAACAAACAGATCAATGGAACAACTGGAGATCTCCCAAACAGAACTCCATATAGAGACGACTGATTTTTGACAAAGGAACAAAGGTAATACAATGAAGCAAAGAAAGTCTTTCCCACACATGGTTCTCAGACTGGACATCCACATAAAAAAGAAATGAATCTAGACACAGAACTTACACCTTTCACAAAAATTAACTCAAAATGGATCACAGACCTAAAAGCAAAGTGAAAAACTATAACACTTTAGAATATAGGGGAAAATATAGATGACCTTGAGTGTGTTAATTACTTTTTACATATATACCAAAGGCACCATTCATGAAATAACATATTAGCTGGACTTAATTTAAATGAATAACTTCTGCTCTGGGAAAGACAATGTCAAGAAAATAAGACAAGCCACAGACTGGGAGAAAATATTTGCAAAAGATACATCAGATAAAGGACTGTTATCCAAAAATATACAAAGAACTTGTAAATCTCAACAATAAGAAAGCAATCCGATTTAAAAAATGGGCCAAAGACCTCAACAAACAATCCACCAAAGAAGATACACATATGGCAATCATAAAAGGTGTTGCACATGATGTGTCCTTAAGAGAAACACAAAACAACAAAGTACAACTACATACCTATTGGAGTGGCCAAAACCCAGAACACCAATAACACCAAATGCTGGTGAGGGTGTGAAGCAACAGGAACTCTCATTCATTGTTGGTGGGGATGCAAAATGACACAGACAGGTTGGAAGTCAGTTTCTTATAAAACTAAGCATACTTTTCCCATATGATCCAGTTTGCCCTCTATTTACCCAAAGGAGTTGAACACTTATGTCCACACAAAAATCTGCACATGGGTGTTTACAACAGCTTTTTTCATAATTACCAAAACTTGGAGACAACCAAGATGTCCTTCAGTATGCAAGTAGATAAACTGTGGCACATTCAAACAATGAAATATTGTTTGATGTTAAAAAGAAATGAGCTATCAAGCCAAAAAAAAAAAAAAAGGACATGGAGGAAACTTAAATGCATATTACCAAGTGAAAGAAGTCAATATGAAAAGATGACATAACATATGATTCCAACTATATGACATTCTGGAAAAGGCAAAACAACGGAGACAGTAAAAAGATCAGTGGCTGCCAGGGATTGCGGTGGGGTAGGGGATGAGTAGGTGAAGCACAGAGGATTTGGGTGCAGAGAAACCATTTTGTATGATACCATAATGATGAATACATGTCATTACACATTTCTCTAAACCCACAGAATGTACAGCACCAAGAAAAAACCCTGGTCAACTGTGGACTTAGATGATTATGAGGTGATTATGATGTGTCAGTGCAGGTTCACAATTGTAACTCGCCGGGGGAATGTTGATAATGGGGAGGCTACATATGTACCCAGTTAGGGGATATATGGAGAATCGGTTCCTCCTGCTCAATTTTCCTACGAACCTAAAACTTCTCCTAAAAAAGAAAAAAATCTTTTTTAAAAGGGCGTAACATTCTTGCCATTCTGGTAGCCCCAGACGCTTTCTTTTCTCAATGTCCACAGCGGGAACCAAGGTTCAGCCAGTGGACTGTGGGCACGCGCTAAGAACGCGGATCGCGAGGATTTAAAAATGGGAGGGGTGCTGCCAGAGGAGTCGCTCAAAGCGTCCCTAACACCCTCGCACGAGGCCGCCAGAGAAAGCGCAGGTCGTGAAGCCAATTCTGCGGAGTGGGGACTTTGGCTTACCCGGGCCCCCTGCAGTCGTTGCCATGGTGACGAGACGCCGGAAGTCCGCGCAGGCGCTAAGCCGCAGGCACCGGCGAAGAGCTGTCACAGGTGGCGCGCAAACAAACTACACACGCGGCGAGGGGAGGCCTCTTGGGGGAGGAAACCGGCGTTGCACAGGCGGAAGCAGCGAAGCGGTGGCAATGCGCACGCTCAGAGGCTGTGCTAGCGTTCAGCTCTCGCGCAGACTCCGTTCCGCGTCCTGGTGTCGCACGAGTTGTGTTTTTTTTTTTTTTTGGGGGGGGGAAGTTGTCAAAACTGGTGGTCGAGAGCATTGCTGGACCGGTCGGGGAACACGGAGGCAGAGAATGAGACCCAAGATTGAAAGCAGTTACTGGTGTGGGGTACGAATTTCCGGAGTTGGTTATATTTTCTCTTCTTAGTTTTAGTAGCATCCTAAAATGACATGGAATCATTCCTTAATAAAAAAATTAGTGTTTCTGCCGGAGTACGGAACTGAAAACTTGAAAGTTTCCTGTCCCCTTCTCTGTTTATCAGTGTTCCCTCAGAAAACACTCTAGCAACTAGATTCTCACACTCACTGCCTTCTTTTGCCCTCCTTAATTCCTTACTTTCTCCAACCATTCTGGAGATGGAGAAAGAACAGCCTGCCCGGTCGGATTTATCTGAATTAAGCACTGGCATTTTCTGGTTCTGTGACTAATACAATTTACTCTGTCAGTTGTAAAATTAGAATGACTGCATCACCCGATACATAACACAAAGACAGCTCTTCTCACCCAGCCCTTCGGATTTTAATATACTGAAGTCTTTCTAGACTTGAGTTGTAATTATTTGAATCTGTCTTTAATCAAAATTCTGTTTTCTCTGCATATTCTCTAGCTTAATCAAAAGGATTTCTTAAATTTCAGGAAACACTAAATTTTAACAACTTCAACTGCATTTTTTTTAAAAACTTTGAGACACGATCGGTCGATTTGTATTTGATTTGCATTTCCCTTATAATTTAAAATGGATACATTTAAAGTGTACAATTTATTGTGTTCGTAGTGTAGTCAGATTTATGCATCCAGCACCACAATCAACTTCAGAACATTTTCATCACCCAAAGTAGTCGTTCCACATCCCGCACCCCACCCCCCCGACCGCGCCCCGCAGCCCTAAACAACTACTACTAATCTATTTTCTGTCTCTGCAGATTAAACTATTCTGGACATTGTATATAAATGGAGTAATTCAATGTATTAGGTCGGAGTCGCTCAAGAAACTGACGGAGGCAGTGAGCTAAGGAGCAGGGTTTATTAGCGGGGGAATAGGAGGGAAAGTGGGGCCAACCAAGGGAGGTTGGGGAGCCAACCAAGTGAGGTTAGGACTCGCTGGGTTGTTCTTAGGTCAGGGTTTTGAGGCTGTGAAGCACAAAAACCTGCAAACGGTAACTGGTTGGGGTGTCAGAGTCTGATTGGCTAGAGCTGGGTGCCATTTCTGACCATCGTTCTTGGTTCATCTTGTCAGGCTCAAGTTAAAGCTGCATCCTGGTTTGTCCTGGGTACGGTCAGCAGGCAGTTTCCCAGGCTAACATAAAGTTTCCCACAGTAGTTTTCCTGCCTGGTGATTTTCCATTCCTGCTCGGCCTACTTAGGTCTGTCACAATATATAGTTTTTTGTGACTGGCTTCTTTCACTTGGATTACTATTTTCAAGGTTCATCCATATTGTAGTGTGTACCAGTACTTTATTCTTTTTTATGGCCAAATAAAATTCCATTGTTTGCATATGGCACACTTTATTTATTCATTTATCAGTTGATGGGCATTTGTATTGTTTCCACTTTTTGTCTACTAATGAATAATGATACTACGAACATTCATGGACAAGTTTTGAGTGGAAGTGTGAAGTATGTGGACATATTTCTCTTGAGTATATGTACATAGCAGTAGAAATGCTCGTTCACAAAGTAGCTTTATATTTCACTTTTTGAGGAACTGCCAGTTTTGCAAAACAACTATACCATCTTATTTTATTTTATTTAGTGTGTGTAATAAAAAGTCTTTATTTCGTGGGATTTTTTTTTCTTCATAAAAAAAAAAAAAAGGAACCCTGACAGAATGGACAAATCTTCAGATCGGGCTGTGTAGAATACAGAGGAAATGGTGACAGCATTCGTGCACTTTGGCCTAATATGCTACAAACATAATGAATAGCTGGGGATTTCTGGCACACAACTGTGTGGCATAGAAAGCCAAACAGCTAGCCATCCTCAACCAAGGGCAGCTGCTGCTTGAGTTTGCTTTTCACAAACGTCCAGCTATACCGCTGGACGTGCCCACAGCAATGCATGAGAGTTCCAGTTTCTCCACATCCTTACCAACACTTACTATCTGTTATTTTTTCATTGATTACAGCCATTCAAGTTGATATGAATAATAGCTCCTTGTATTCGTGATTTCCCTAGTGAGTAATAATATTGAGCGTGTTTTCAAGTGCTTATTGACTATTTTATTTTCCTTGTTGACATGTCTATTCAAATCATTTGCTCATTTTTACACTGGGTTACTTGTGGGGTTTTGTTGAATTGTAAAAAATTTTTAAATTATATTTTATTCATTATGTTATTACTTTTGTCCTGATTTTCCCCCCCTACTGCTTCAGGCAATACCCCCACCATTGTTCATGTCCATGGATCATGTGTATAAGTTCTTTGTCTACTCCATTTCCTATCTAGACTGTACTTTACATCCCCAGGACTATTCTATAACTACCTCTTTGTACTTTTTTTAAAGTTTTTTAAAAAATATATTTTATTCTTAATCCCCTTACCTCTTCATCCATTTCCCCCCCTCATCCTTCCCTGCGGGCAACCTTCCGGTAACTAACTTGCTTTTTCTTGCTTTTGACAATCTCTCTTTACTGTTAATCTTTAGCCTTTTAAAAATGATGTGTCTTGGACACATCATTATTAAATGATGAGGCCTCTATTATGGTAGAGGCCTCTGCATCTGCCATAAATGGGACTCTCTTTGCTTCCTGGACTTGCATGTCTGTTTCCTTCACCAGACTAGGGAAGTTTTCTTTCACTGTTTTTCCAGATAGAGTTCCAGTTTCTTGCTCTATGATGTGAATGTTGGAATGCTTTTAGTTGTCCTACATGATGTTTACACTATCTTTTTTTTTTTAATTCTTTTTTTTCTTGTTCTGCGTGGTTGTTGTTTTTTTTGCTTTCTTATGTCCCAAGCCATTGATATGATTCTCAGCTTCATCAACTCTACTGTTGTTTCCTTGTAAATTGTCCTTTATTTCAATTAGTGTATCCTTCATTTCTGATTGGGTCTTTTTTACGTTGCTGAGGTCCTCTACTAAGTTCCTTGAGCATCCTTATAACCAGTGTTTTGAACTCTGCATCTGATAGATTGCTTCTCTCCATTTCATTTAGTTCTTTTTCTGGAGTTTTTATCTGTTCTTTTATTTGGGCCATGTTTGTGTCCTCATTTTGGAAGCCTCCCTGTGTTTGTATGTATTAGGTAGAGCTGCTTTGACTCCATGACTCAGTAGTGTGGCCTAATGTAGTGGGTGTCCTGTAGGGTCCAGTGGCACAGCCTCCCCTATCACCCAAGCTGGGTACTCAAGGTGTGCCCTTTGTGTGGACTCAGTACACCCTCCTTTTGTAGTTGAGCCTTGGTTGCTGTTGGCAGATCATTGGGAGGGATTTGCAGCTGACTGGCCTGTAGCTGACTCAGGCCAGTCAGCTGCAAGGACTGGCTGTGTGTGACCACTTACCACCAACCTTGGCTCTCTGTGGAAGATCTGCAGTGCAAGGGCAGGGTGGTGGTGCTCTGACATGGTCTATAGCTGTCCACTGGGTGAGTTGGCTCTGGATCCCCAAATGGTGCAGGCCAGGATCAGCCCTGACCTGTATTTTGCCTGAGGCACCCTGAGTGAGCTGTAAAAGCAATCTGAGATGGCTGCTACTTGTGCTGAGCTTGCAGATTCCCAAGTGAAGCCAAGCTGTGAATCTAATCTGGCTGTTGCTAGGGCTCACTAAAGCCAGCTGTTGCTTGTTTGATAGGATTTAGGAGTCAAGACCAGCCATTCTTATGCAAAAGCAGTTTACAGTGGGCCCATAAATTGGGTGGGGTAGAGCATCTGGTGATGTCCAAAGCAGGCCTCACAGTGTTAGCCAGGTTGATGGAGCCTCAGATATGGC